GGTCACTGGCTAAAGGATTGCAAGAAATTTGCCGAGGCTCAAAAGAAGGCAAAGCTGTAGACGAGGTAAGTGTTGCTTCCGATATAGAGAATGACGGAGATCTTCTTACAGTCTCCTCAGGTATGGATCCCTTGGAATTTTGGATACTTGATTCCGGATGTTCTTATCATATGTGTCCTTATAAAGATTGGTTTTCTACATATGAGTCACATGTTGGAGGCATAGTTATTATGGGAAATAATGCCGAGTGTAGAACTGTTGGGATTGGGACAATTAAAATCAAGATGTTTGATGGGATTGTTGGAACATTAACAAATGTTAGACATGTCCCAGATCTTAAGAAAAGTTTAGTCTCACTTGGTGCTTTAGATGATCATGGGTGTACATATAGTGGGGTTGATGGAGTCATAAAAATTAAAAGAGGTGCCATGGTTGTCATAAAAGGAGAGAAAAAAGGATCATTATATAGGTTAATTGGAAAAACTATCATTGGGGATGCAACTGTCACATCCACTTTAGATAATGATTATAGTCAGTTATGGCACTTTAGATTGGCACACATTAGCGAGAGAGGCATGATAGAACTGCACAAAAGGAAATTACTTGATGGTGTTAAATCTTGCAAATTAGATTTCTACAAATATTGTATTTTTGGAAAGCAATGCAGGGTCAGTTTTATAACATCTACTAAAAGAAGCAAGTAGATTCTTGAGTATGTGCATGCATATACATGGGGTTCATCGCTAGTAACTTCTAGTGGTAGAGAATGATATTTTGTTAGCTTTGTTGATGACTATTCCAGAAAGGTTTGGGTATACTTCATGAAGCATAAATCTGAAGCTTTTGAGAAGTTCAAGATTTGGAAGGAAAAAGTGGAGAAACGAACTGGAAAGCAGATAAAATACCTACGAACAGATAATGGAGAATTGACCTCTACAGAGTTTCAGAAATTTTGTGCAGCAGAAGGGATTATTCGACATCTTACTACTCCAGGCACACCTCAGCAGAACGGGGTAGCAGGAAGAATGAATAAGACATTACTAGAGAAGGCAAGGTGCATGAGAATCTTTGCAGATTTACCAAAGCAGTTTTGGGCCGAGGCAGTTAATATGGCCTGTTATGGACTGGTAATTCTGTTGATTACTCAAATTTGAGAATTTTTGGATGCCCTTGTTATGTTTTGTTGTAGGATAGAGAGAGGACAAAGCTTGATGCTAAGTCAAAACCTTGCATTTTTCTAGGATACAATGAAGGGGTGAAAAGATTCAGACTTTGGAATCCTAACACCAAGAAGGTTGAGATAAGCAGAGATGTATTTGATGAAGCTTTTATGTTGAAGGAAAATCAGTAGCAAATCCCAGATGGTGAGAAGAGCAATACCTCAATTTAGGTGGAGCTAAGTGAGGAAGAGAAAATGGGTAGTGAACCAATCGCTACAGATTCTTCTCATCAAAGCCAAGAAGTTGCACAATCCCAAGAGGAACCACCATATTCCATTGCTGCAGGTAGGGCTAAAAGGAACATCAAGAGACCAGTAAGATTTGATGATACAGTTGCATATGCATTAACAGCTAATTGTGATGATCCAATGACCTACAAGGAGGCAATGAAAGATAAAGACAACTCACTATGGATGGGTGCTATGAAAGAGGAGATGGCTTCTCTTGGAAGAATGAAACTTGGAAGTTAGTAGAATTGCCTAAGGGTAAGAAGGCTATTGGGTGCAAGTGGGTGTACAGAAAAAAAAGAGGCTTCATCTGCAAGCGAACCGGTTAGGTACAAGGCAAGGTTAGTAGCGAAAGGATATGCACAAAAGGAAGGAGTGGATTTCAATGAGATCTTTTCTCCTGTAGTGAAGCATTGTTCCATTAGAATCATGTTGGCAATGGTAGCTATGTGGGATATGGAGTTGGAGCAGCTTGATGTGAAGACAACTTTCCTCCATGGGAACTTAGAAGAGGAAATTTACATGGTGCAGCTCGATGGGTTTGTCAAGAATGGCAAAGAACAACTAGTATGCAAGTTGAATAGGTCACTCTGTGGCCTTAAGCAAGCACCGAGGAAATGGTACAAGCGCTGACACTTTTATGACTAAACATGGCTACATCAGAAGTAAGTACGATATTGTGTTTATTTTCGTTTCCTTCATGATGAATCCATTATACTATTGATGCTTTATGTCGATGACATGCTTATTGCTTGTAAGAGTTTGCATGGGATTGCTAAGTTAAAGCAGGAATTGAGCATGGAATTTGAAATGAAAGATTTAGGTGGAGCAAAGAAAATCTTGGGTATGGAAATTCAAAGAGACAGGCGCAATGGGAAGTTGTGATTGACCCAAAAAGGGTATATTGAGAAGGTATTGACCAAATTCAATATGAAGGAGGCTAAGTCAGTGAGCACACCACTAGTTTAGCACTTCAAACTATCTCTTCAACATTGTCCAAAGACAGAGGAAGAACATGAGGAGATGCTACATATACCATATGCCAGTGCAGTTGGATGCCTTATGTATGCTATGGTATGCACCAAATTGGACTTATCTCAAGCAGTTAGTGTTGTGGGCAGGTTTATGGCTAATCTGGGGAAGGAGCATTGGAATGCTATAAAGTGGATTCTACGCTACTTGAACGGTACCCAAGATCTAGGTTTACTATTTCAGAATGGTTTGAAAGGAAACAAAGTGGTTGGGTATGTAGATTCAGATTTTGCAGGTGACCTTGACAAGAGAAAGTCTACTACGGGATATATTTTCACTCTTGGTCAAGGTCCTATTAGTTGGAGATCTACATTACAAGATACAATGGCTCTGTCTACTGAAGAAGGAAAGTACATGGCAGCAGTAAAGGCAGCCAAGGAAGTTGTATGGTTGAGAGGATTGATTTAAGAGCTTGGAATTGATCACAAGAACATTTGTGTTCACTGTGACAGTCAAAATGCTCTCTGTCTTGCAAATGATCCAGTATACCATGCAAGGACTGAGCACATAGATGTGCGGTATCACAGGCTCAGAGATTTTGTAGCAGATGGTGACATTTAGTTGGAGAAGATTTCTTCCCAAATGAACATAGCAGACATGATGACCAAGCCATTGCCAAGGGAGAGGTTTAGGCATTGCCTAAATCTTTCAAACATACAACAGTGCTAAGTTGTGAAGGCCCCAGGAAGAGGGGGTAATCTAGATAGAGAAATGGAGTAGGGTGAAGAAGAGAGTTGAAGAATTTTTTTTATTTTTTTTTGAGTCAAGGTGGAGAATGTTGGAATTGACTCAAAATAAAATCAGTTACAGAAAAGTGGCTATTAGTGCTATTAGTGCATGGTAATCATAAAGTAGTTACAGAAAGTGGCTATTAGTGCATGGTAACCATAAAGTAGTTACAAAAAGTGGCTATTAGTGCATGGTAACCACAAAGTCAGATATAAAAGGAGTGGCTATCTTGTATCTACATCTCCTTCTTCTTCTTCTACAATTTTAATGAAAAATCTCTCTCTGGAGTGTGTGCCCTTCCCGTGGACGTAGGAGGATTTTCTCTGAACCACGTAAATTCTTGTGTTTTCATCTCTATTTGCTTGAATTTTTGTTTACTTTGCCATTTTGTGTATTCTCCATTTTTCTTCACGGGTTGATTTAGGATACGTGATCCAACGCTTATACACCAACAACCTCTTGGCCCATAATCATCAAAACACTGCTTACAAGGAAGGACCTTATCCCTGATTGCAAAATGTAGTGTTACACTCCCTATTTAGATGGATCTCAGGATTAAAACCTTTTGCAGACCTTTTTCATAAAATAATAATATAACATATAAATACATTTTGCAAATTAGATTTCAAATACAGTTAAAATCCATTGCCAACAATTTAGTTTTCCATCAGAGAGTGTAAACCCTGGGATTCTCTTTGTCTAAAAAAGGAGTTGATCCTATCACTGTGATCACCCACTCAAGTAATTTCCCAAATTGCCCCAACATGCCTAGATATGTGACCCTTGATGGATTTCACTGGTTGGTATATCAAAGACAATTTAGTCCAAAACTTTGTGCAATATCACAATCAAGTTTTGGGTTAAGTGCAACTTTCTAGTTTTGCCTATCTATCTCCAAGGTTCAGGGCATAACTAGAAATTGCCCCAGGTTCATTGTTTCTTCCAAACACCCACTAGCTGTGCTTGGGGTCTAACCCTAGTAGTTGAAACAAGCTGCTCCACTAATTCAGCAACATACCAGTGTCAGCAACATACTAGTGTCAGCCTTGTCAAATTAAACTCCCCAAGTCTATCCAATGGCTGAGATCATTCTAAACTAACACGAGTCTCACAAGTGTCGAGTTTAAGGAATAATTCACATAAACAAACCAATTTGAACACAAAGCAATAATGTACTTTATTTATCTATAAATGTTTATGTACATCAATCTGATTGGAGCTGGGCATACACTATCTAACATCCAAAGAAATAACTAAACAGTGATAGAATTATGACTAAAAAATGGACATAAATGCCCTTGTTGGCATGCCTCTCAAGTGGTGACATCAGGTCAAGTTCAAGAAGGGTGGGATTACACCAATCTTGACATTAGTCTTCCTATTGAAGGACCACAGTGAAACAAACGACTGAGTGGTGCAGGTTGAGAGGCAGCACTACAAGAACAGGGTTAAAGCCTGTTTCACATCAGATGAGGGTCTCTTAACATGAAGTGTAGCCCCTAAGTGAATTTCAAACAATAGATATAGAGGCCGAAGGGGTGGTGTCTTGTTTAATTTGCCTCATTGCTGTCCCTAATTTGGTTTTTTGGATTAATCTTCTATTTCAACATTAATGCTTATACGATCCTGGGAATGAATGCTCATCATTAGACAACAAAAGGAGAGAATGGAGGGCAGATGTTGTCATATATGGGCCTGGCAGATGCCACTCATAACCTTTTGTTTTCTGAGAGGATATGATTCTTTGGACATGATCAAGATTTTTATAGTTTTATGTCATTGAATTTACTGTTGTTTGACATTTACTTGTGTATTCTTTCCAATTTACATATGGCAGGTAGCTTGCAAGGAACTTAGAAATAGCCGGCTATTCCTGAAACTTTTGGAAGCTGTACTCAAAACAGGCAACCGTATGAATGATGGTACCTTCAGGGGTGGTGCACAGGCATTCAAGCTTGACACACTTTTGAAACTGTCTGATGTCAAAGGAACTGATGGGAAGACAACTCTCTTGCACTTTGTTGTCCAGGAGATAATCCGGTCTGAAGGTGTTCGGGCCGCCCGTATGGCTCGAGAAAGCAAAAGCATCTCTAGTGTGAAATCAGATGACTTCATTGAAGATTCTCCCAAAGAAACAGAAGAACATTATCGTAGCATCGGTCTTCAAGTTGTTTCAGGTCTGGGTGGTGAGCTTGAGAATGTCAGGAAGGCAGCAGCATTGGATGCTGATAACCTAATAGGAACATTGTCCAAGCTTGGTCGTACACTAATCAGGACGAAGGAGTTTCTGAACTCAGAGATGAAGAGTTCAGAGGACAGTGGGTTTCACCGCACACTTAAGAGTTTTGTAGAGCATGCAGAGATTGACATAACGTGGCTGCTGGAGGAAGAAAAAAGGATAATGGCACTGGTGAAAAATACTGCCGATTACTTTCATGGTAAAGCAGGGAAAGATGAGGGCTTACGCTTGTTTGTGATTGTTCGGGATTTTCTCATCATGTTGGATAAGGTATGCAAGGAGGTGAGGGAATCAACAATGAAACCAGCAAAGATGCCAGGAAATAGGGAAGTCTCAAATGCCCAATCTTCTCCAGACTCCCGTCAACCACCTCCAGACCTACGTCAGCGGCTTTTTCCAGCAATCACAGACAGACGGATAGACAATTCCAGTTCAGATGAGGAGTGAGGAGGGTGCTTCTCCTTAGTTTTCATTTGCAGAAGGTTTGTCCAGTTCTTTTTCTGGGAATCATGTTGATGACCCTTTCCAGAAACTATATTTCGTAAAACTTATGAGCCTTAACCAGATCTAGTGCCTCAAGTGGTTATTATCTTTAGGAAGCATTACAGGGCTAGGGTGTCATGGGTCATATGGGTCATGGGTCCAGTAGTTGGATGAGGCCTCCATAATGTGCGTCTGTCATGTTTTTCAAGAATTGGAACATTATTCATCGGATGAGTCTCAATTAAGAGATTCTCCGATCAACAATCAATACAATGAGATGATCTTTAACCATCTGATTTCTGCTTTTCAAAGTTCATTTTTATTGCAAGGGAGAATTTTAACTAGCATCAGGAAAAAAAAAAGTTTCATTACCCATTGTAGGTTCCAGCTATATGGGGTCTTGCAAAGGGTGGACTGGATGAAGACTTTTGGCATGTTTTTTGCCAGAAGTGTTTGCTCATAGAAATGCAGTAAATTTGACGGTTATGACCTTTTGACTTATGAATATGCTTACATCCAAAATAGGTGCAAGTTAACAGTTCCTGTGCCCGCAGACCCAAAATTTAGGCATTTTCTTTGTTATGTACTGTTCTTTTTATTAAAAAATCCGTTTTATATTTTGTTTTTCCTTGTCACAGGCATTTGGAAAGGTGGCTTTGTAACTTGGCAAATGTTATTCCAGATAACCTTGGAATCACAGATGGAGATCTAGCTTGCAGAAACTTGTCAAATTCCAAATTCGGTCCTTGAATCTTCTTGCAGCAGATGATGAAGGTCGACTCTGGACTTCTGGAGAACTGGTTTGAGAAAGAGTTGGTGATACGACTGAAGTATATGACACCCAACTTTAACTACTAAGAAGTGGCCATGATTTAATTTGTAGTGGTCCTAGTGAACGGAGGGTGTAGAGTAGGCGTTCGGTCCATAATTTAATTTGTAATGGCTTCTTATAGGGGGGCCAGATGTGCATGATAAGTTAGAGGTGACGATTTGTTTTTGTTTTATATTTTTTTTTTCATTTTTTCATTTTTTGACTTTTGAAAAAGGTGAACCAAGTGCGGTTCCTTTGAAGCGTAGAAGTTGTTCCATTTCTAGTTCTCTTAATTGAGAAAAATTCTTTTATTGATCCTAGTAAAAAGCCCGTGCAATGCACGTGTCAGAAAGAATAATTCATAATAAATAATTACAATGGGGTAAAAAGAATAACTAATAATAAATAATTATAATTCATTTTTAATTACTTTTAAAACCAAGTATTTGACACAAGGTTGAAAGTATTGAAAATATAAGGTGTATCGGAAAGACAATTTTAAGAGACGTATCATGATACGTATGGATACGAACGATAAATCAAGATACACATAAATACGATAAAAAATTCAAATAAATCTTAAAAAATATATTATTAACTATATTTACAAATTTTATATGATTGTAAATAAGCCATTTAAATGTAAAAAACCATAATTTAATGGTTTATATAAAGTGTGACATATCGTGACATAATTAGTCAATTTTCAAAAACTAATATAATTAATCTTAATATTTATTAATATATAAATTTTAATAATTAATTCTAGCATTTATTAATAAAAACTTGTCATTTGAAAAGTGAAAATTTACTTCAAAATTAAAATATATATATATATATATATATATATATATATATATATATATAATCATAGCAGAAAAATATGTTTGACTTATTGACAAACTTGTGGTTGTTAAAATTTAGACTCAAGTGACCAAGGTTTAAATCTTTGCTATAGCTAAAATTTGAATTTTTTACACTAACAAAACGAAATTAATGATAGGGGATCATTAATTAAAGGAATTAATGAGAGAATTTGAATTTGGCACTAAAATTCAAATTTAAATTTAAACTTGCCTTGGAGTGATTGACTAATTAATGTGAGAGAAATTAGACTTAAATAAACGATATTAATGAGAGATTCAGTATAAAATATGGATTAATGAATAACGATACAGATCCGAACTGTATTGGACTGTTTTGACCCGTATCGGCTGATACAGATCCGAAATAGCTCGATACAGGCTCGTATTGGCCGATACGTACGAAAAGAAATAGAACGAATGATTTATACATGTTTCGCGCATTGGATTCTTATTGGAACAATATGTATCGGCTGATAAATATTTTAAACCTTGATTTGACAATTACTCCATTGTTTTAATTAGTAGAGTATGTAGACTTTACATGCAAAATAATTTGGTTTGGTTATTATTGAACTCCACATCGTGTGTGAGAGAGAGAGAGTAAATAAACACACATACCTTTAGTCTATACAAATAATCTCCAAAATATTACTATTCTACCAAAAAAAGAAAAAAAAGAACAAAGAACCACCCCTTATAATGTTTCAATTGCCATAGCTCAAGAAGTGGTTTAAACACAAAAAAAATTGTAATTTTAAAGTTTGAGACAAGCAATGAAATTAAAAAAAGCGGGACTTAAGAATTCCAAATGACCTAGCTTTTTGATATCCAAGACCCTCTGAACATATTTTGCTTCAAGTGATTTCCAAACCCAGCATATATATCACAATAACGGCGAAAACCCTTTGCCTAGAAGAAGACCACTTAGCTGCAACTAGTTCATGAGGCAACCTTCATCTTTCCCCATCGTCAAGCCCATCTCAGCCCCCACAATCCTCATTGCAAAATCTCTGAAAATCACTCAAAGAAAATTATAAATTAGAAATTGAAACGATAACTTTACAAATACAAAAATGCAATTTTTAAAATTAAAAAAAGTACTTACATCATAGGATCATGAACTTATCCTCAACCTTACATTAGGTGGCTACAATGAAAATTATTTAAATAAGATTATAACACAAAGGGAATTGATTTATAAAACAGACTTACCTCTTTTACTAATTGGTTAAATTTAATTCCAGCATCTTCTACCCCCTTCATATTTTTTTTCTTGAATCAGAAAGATTATCTCGATCAATCCACTAAGAAAACCAAAGATTACTAAAAACAGAAAGAACCAAAGAACAAAATATGAACCTCCAATTAGTAAATCAAACAAAGTTGATCATTAACTTGAGAATGAGCTTTGCTATTAAGAAATTAACGATGTTGAAAATGTTTTGGGCATTAGGGCATATATCCCATGTCAAATTGTCTTAGTTTTGTTGATAAGCCTCTGACTTTTGTCAAAAAAAATTGAAGAACAATTAACATTTGGTCTATCACAAATGTTCAAAACGTGTAGTAGTTTGCGACGAATATCCAAATCATGCATTATTTTTTTTTCATATGCACTCTTTCTTACTGTATGTATATTCCATATAACTTCGCACTTGAAGGATAAAATTGGTAACAGGGTATTTGATTTTCATTAACGGTCATAGATAGTCATTTCACAATTATTGAAGTGCCTTTACCTTTTCGAATGTGTAAGGTAATTTATTTATTTTTTTTCTGCCACTTCATTTCAAGTGGCTTTAAAGTTTAAAGTAATTAATTTCTTGGGAAAATTGTACCCGTCAAAATTCAAAAACATGGGCTGTTAAGTCATTACTCATTAGGGGTGAGTATGGGGAGTTAGGGTTACCTGCCAACAAAATACATTCCAACTGACTATCAATATAAGAAACCACACATCTCATACACGGTGGGTCCTCAGTCTCATGGTGAGATATACAACTAAGTAGGGATTCAAACGTGTTTTGTTCACAGGAGATTCTAACTCGATTATGGGCTGTTTTTGGGTTGGATTATTCAATAACAAATTGGGTAGGGTTTGTTCAATTTGGTTTAATGTCAATTTCATTTGATTCTAGTTATTATCTATTTGTTCATCCAAGATTCAAAATATCGATATATTCCAATGTACCATAAGGGGTGTATCGGAACTTTGCACCATGCACCTACTTTTTTTTAGGAAATATAGGTCATGGGGCAGGTCTTAGGCTTGTCTATCTCCTGAAATATATCCAATGCCCAAAACACCTATACTTTGTGTATCGGTGACCTATTGATACAATGGCCTGATACATGACAAAATTTTGACCCTTGTATTCATCCTTAATTATCATCAAGGTTTCACACAGGATTTTTGTATATAAGTGCCCGATGCTTTGCTGAATTAACTAACGCTACAAGTTGGATTGGCCTGAGTTAACAGATGTTCTGGTTCAAATTTTGAATTGGGCCCATTGAAATTTTCACAAAATCTTAATCCTAACCTGCAAAAGTTGCACCCATACTATTGACACCAGACTGTTAGTGTGGACAGCCAAAGTTTTTTTTCTTTTGGCAGGGTTCACGTGAGGTCCACCCAAGTTACCATCTCGGCTATGCAGGGGATCAAGGCTGCTTTTGATATGTATAATTTCATGTTTACAGGGGGATCAAGGAGGGTGGGAACAGAGTAGGGTTCATGTGAGGTATTTCGCCCAGTGAGACCGGATTCGGTCTTCATAGAATTTGAAATCACACCACACTCACAACACTTACAGCGGTGCATTTGTAACATCTCTGAATTTACATTTTTTCATACACGGAGAGATGTTACGAATGCAGGACTGCAAGTGTTAGAGAGTGCAAATTTTGCGATGACTGAATCGGGATTTCCACCCACCTTACCATGAAGATCCTGATGCCATGCAGGTTTGATTTTGCACCTCTAGCAATGCCAAGTGACCATCACAATTCACAAGCCATTTGTCATGAAAATAAAATTACAATAACAATGCTAATAAATAAGTTTTATACAATATATAAAAACTTAACCAATGATTAAAATGTTGATACAATATGTTCGTTCGGTATTGGTGTGTCTGAATATGTTTAGATAGATTGACACAAAAAGATACAAAAACAAAATTTAAAACTTTGGAAAGGCTGCATCCATCCCTTTAAAACTTATAAATGATGTACACCGTTACAAATTTTTTGGTATCAACTGTGTCAATATCTAACCCTTTGACCTGAAACTGCTACACTGACCCCACAGCCCCATCCTATGTATATTGGATTGTGAGGTTGGTGTGAATCCAGACTAAACAAAATTAGGTTTATGTAACTGAAGTCTTTATATATTGTTATTTAAGGCTGTTAGGCTGTTATATATCGAGAGGAACATAAACCTTTTATTTATTATTTATTTTTTATGAAACACATAATGAAAAAAATGACAAAAAACAATAAGAAAAAAAGTGTCAGAAGTGGGATTTGAACCCACGCCCTCTCTCGAGGACCAGAACTTGAGTCTGGCGCCTTAGACCACTCGGCCATCCTGACTCTACATCAAAACGTCTTACCGGAAGATATCTATAATATAATATTCTCCAACCACCGAGAGTAAGTTTCTTCCTTTTTATCCCCCAATACTGGTGAAGGTGGAATTTCATCCAAAGTCACTACCAACAGAGACCTTGCCAAATAAGCTAGGAGCAAATTATAATCAGATTCTATTTCTCTGCAAGATCTAATCGGATTATCTTTAGACATAAACACGAGGGTCAATGGGTTCCTACAAGTTCGGTCCATCCACTTTGTCACGTGATTGTTGGCCAAAAAATGGGCTTACCATTCTATCCAACCACCACTTTCAAGGTGAATGTTTGATTACGTGGGTTGCGTTAAAAGTTGTAAGTTATAAATCCAGGTTTTATTCTATATATAATGTTTGCCTTGGATAATATTTTCTTTGAAAGAAAGCATGACATAATCATGGATCATTAAAGCATGGAAGAACTATTAAAGTGATCAGTTTAGGAGATAATTTAGTTTATCGTTGGTTCTTTTAGAGTCAGTATATGTATTCTAGTTTTTTCATGCAATGACATGCATTCGATAGTTGAGAAAATGCACCTCTTTTGGATTGTCAAGGCATTATAGGTTACCATCTTTCAACGGGCAAGCATACAGGAGTTCCATTTCTCCTTCATATCTAGTCACTATCGTTAACTACTTCAAGATGATTCTCTTATTAGCTAATTTTATATTTGTTGTTGTTTCCTGTTTTACGTTGGTTATATGACCGATACCCTTTTTTCATACATCATATAAGGAGAAGCTTAGGCCATTTGCATTGAAGAATAGGACAACACAACACTGATGTTATATACATGTTCCTCAAATTT